ACTGAACTGCAAGCGGCAGAATGAGAGTGCGAATATGGGTGGGCGAATGTGGATGGAAATGGACGGAAATGGAGGCAAGGGTGGGAGACGGCGGATTGTATAACGCTGAGACGCAGGATTGGAACTGCGGATTGTACAGCGTGATATGCAACTGCTACTGCAAAGTAAGAAGCAGTAGGTGAAATTATTGCTGCGGAGTAAAATTGAACAAGTGCAACTACTACTACAAAGGAAAAAAGCAATGAGTGCAATTACTGGTGCAGAGTAACAATCAGCAAGTGCAAGTACTACTGTAAAGTAGGGGGCAGTACCTGCAACTGAGCTGCTCCTGCAAAGTAAGAACAAGTGAGTGCAACTACTACTATGGAGTATAATTGCAAAGTGCAATGTAGAGCCTTGCATACACATTAGTCTGCAGTCAACCACTAACATCAACCAGCCAGCACTGCAAAGAGGAGTTGCGCCATGCAAACCCGAGGAAGAGTTGTGAATCTGGAGCTCCGTCATGATCAAGGAATCAGAGAATGAATCCCTCGCTTGCCCCTTCCTGAAGAGCCCTCCTCCTCTCGCGGCCAGTTCACTCATATTTCTCCCGTTGGAAGTTGGAACCACCCTTAATCCTTACCCCATGACTGGAGATAGGACCACGCTTTCTGGCTCATTGATTGATTGTTGACTAACCCAAAGTCTACTCAGTGGAAATGGGAGTCAGGGGGTCAGACACGATTGTGAATGATGCATGATTCTTGCGTCTTGCCACGGTTTGGAGTAATCAGGAGTGAAGAGAATATCCAATAGGGTTGCCCAATTTGAAGAGTCATGTCAATTCAGGAGTTCGGTCATATCTCATACCTCATACCTGGGATTGTTCAATATGTGAGTAATAGTCCTGAACAAGTCATTCTTCCCTAGAATCACCACCGCTGCAGGTCAAACGCAGCTCAAAAAAGATCCTATATAAATCCTATCAACATCCTGGACAATATCCCATATCGCTTATCATACCAAAAAGCAAGTCTAGCATTCGGTCCACCCTATCAAGACGATCTTGCAAACTTTCAACAACTCAACAACACCGATACCACTGTACACCTTAGGCTCAATTCTCCAGAATTCCCTCCAGACGGCTCTCCAGCCCCTCCGAATCAGTCATGGCCCACGAACACCCCGCAGAATATTTTATGGATTTCTGCACCCGCAACACTACCATTGTCGGCACGGATGAAGTAGGGTTTCAATCCTTCAGCGACAGCGTGCCCAGAATCGGTACCGAGTGGCGACGCGGTCACTTTGCTGTCCTGCTTGCCTCCAATTATGGTGCTATTGTTGCCAACATCAGCGGAGCAAATACTGTCAACAGCGTGATGGACGCATTCGACCGGGAATACAATGAGGCTAGCGATAACTTCTTTAGAGATGATTGGGAACAGGCACTTTGGGTAGTGGTGCCAGAACATTCCGACACGACCGCTTCAGCTTCAGCAATCACCGACATCGAAGAAACAATCATCGAAAGATTGGCTCGTCACGCAGGGATGCCCGAACCCGACACGAAGTTCTATGATCCCGACCTGCTCCCCCAAGGGACGAGTGTGTCCAACCCACCACGTCAGTCCACCGCACCCGTGGTTCTACGCTGGTGGAATATCACAGCTGGTTATTCTGGCGGGAGATGTTCGATTTGGTGTCGTGGTCGCATGCTGACGCTTTTCTCTGAACTGCCCGACTTGGATTAGGAAGAGCGCCCTAGGACCCACACTGCGTGGAGTATCATCTGAAGGCTCCGAGTCCTCTGGAGAGGAAAGCGCCCTACGGCCAACGGATATCACTAGAGCTGTTGCGGTGCGCTGCGGCTTTGACTTTCGGTACAGTGTCGAGTATACCCAAATCAGTGTCGGAGGGCTTCTATGACTTTTCAAAAGCTAATATTGCAATCTCCCGGTGGGTCAGCTCCGCCCTCTCACCCAAGGCGGCATTTGAACCTTCAGACATACTTACAAATACGCTCTCTTAGATATCATTTCCTCCAGAGTCTCGACCATGGCGTGGATGGAGGTACATTCACGCATTGACAGCTGAAGTCGGGCTTGTTGGAGACATTCGATCGACGGTTGAGATTCGACTGGCTGCAGCAAATCTATGGATCGATCTTGACTTTGCAGACAATGCCATTCTTCACGCAACCCTTTCTCATAGGGCCATTATTCAACCTACCCTTTCTGATAGGGCTTAATCGGTCATAGAGCAGAGGATCTACAGCACATATGGGTTGGCAGTGGATGCTGGACGTGGAATGAAGCTATTTCGGAGATCTGGAATCCTTCAATCCTTCCCAAATCTACCAGGGAGATTGCATAGTTGTATGGAACCGGCGACTGCGAGCTAGAGCTAGTACATCTCAATCGATTCTTTGTGTATTGTATCTTGCTTGCCCTTTGGTTCTTCTCCCAGCCTGAACTGACGCTATCACCACCACTTTTCTCTACTCCTCTGCTTGTGAGTTTCTTAAATGCCCCCATGTCTCACTGAGGGTCTCAGGTCTCATGTCTCATGTCTCGGCCTCAGGTCTCAGGTAGAGCTCTGGCTGAATGAACCATCGGTCTGGTAAGTGGTCATGACGCCCTAATCATGGTCGGATTGCACCATCAGTCGGCTCGGCTCTCACGGACACATGCATGATTAGCCAAGCACGAACAACACGTCCTCTAGAGCGGAGATGTGCGTAAGCAACTCACGTTTGCAGTCTTCAACATTAGACATCAGGTCTACGAAAGCCAGAGTTCTCCCATCACAGAAGACTGGATCAAGTCCGCATGCCAGGCGAATGGAATGTAGGGAATTGGGAGTATGTTATAAAGTCTTGGCAGTATGTTGTAGAGTCAAGTCAGCACCTCCGAATCCACTTTGGACTTGGATTTGCGCTCTCCTCGTGTCAGATAGTCTGCCTATGTCTGGACTCGTGTCTAGTTCGACTTGGACACCATATTCAGCTAGTTGAGAAGTGATGGATGTGCCCAAATAGCCCGTTCACTCGAGGTAGAGGAAGATACCGTCTAGCTGTCTCCAGGACCTTTTGTCGGACAACCAGCGATATCAATCATGGTATCTGAGTTGCCTATGGCGAAACAGACTCCCCGACGACTTCGTTCGTCGCACCCGGTCAAGCTGGTGTGGTGCAGACATGCCCCTGAAAGCCCTAGAGCTTTCACGACCGTTGCTCCCACCACAGCGGGATCCAGACAGCCCCAACAGCCCCCCAGGCTCAGGGACCTCTGCGACAGACGACCTAGAGGTCTGGAATCGCGCTCTGGCGTCCTGTAGACTGACTTGCTCCCCTCCCCTTTCCTAAACGGAGATGCCGGATAGATCTTGTCGGAAAACAAACCCGACCGGAGATGCCGGGTGTCGGAGACGATGTCCGGCATCTCGATCATCCAAGCCGACATCTCCGGCGCCGGCATCTCCGGAGCTTAGTGATGGTAGCGGCGACGATCTCATGCACCGTCGCGGCCCCCACGCAGGGGGTGGCACCGCGTCCCGCTGAGGTTGGGGAGAAGAAGCCCTCGTTTCGAGGGCTCAAGTTGCGTTGTCGGTGCATCAAAAGTTGCGACTTCCCGATTAGGAAGGATGTTTTCCGAAAACGGTTTAGCGTGGTTTGGGCAAAGCAACAAAATTGCTCCCCAAGGGATTTGGACGTTCAGGCGAGACGCTGCGTCACTGGTTATCGTAGAGGTCACTGACGCCTGGATAACTATCTGATCTACATGCCGCGCCGTTATATTGTGGGTGGGTGGCGTCGGTGGAAAGTTGCGCTGCGGAAGTGAACTTGCACGCGGCGCCGGGTCTGGCTCCGCCCGGTATACCTACCATAAGCCATGAGGTATGCGACCGGGCTATACAAGAGCTGCTTAATCGGGTACATGACGACCACAGGCTGACTTGGCGACAGTTATCTATCGGCCAAAGGTGTACGGGGTATCCAGCACTGGGGAATCCCTTGAAAATCCTTCAAGGTTCCTTATCTTGAGTGGCTCGTGGGGTCGAGAGTCCACCACTGCACCATCCGCCATCCACCATCCACCATACGCCGAGCAATGAAAGTGCCATGACATGATCTCCATCATCAATGGCGAATCTCAGGGCCTAGACTGGAAGCAAGCTCGCACTTCACTGACTGCTTCAACTGTAAGCAAACACACCATCACAGCGTCTATGATAACATCCACGCTAGCCCGCATTGGGGAGCCCGACCGCGGGGAAGTCAATCACGACAGGCAAGACTGGAATGATGATCGACTGCTCAGTGCCTTCAATGCTGGCTATACGCAGCCTCTCAGCATACTATTCGCGGCCTATATCGCCAAGAGCGTCCGTTCTCAATGGTGATTGATCAATGCCGTTGCACACTTTCCTTCTTCTCGTCTCGCCTCGTGCCGTAGCCGCATGGTGTCATTCCGATGCCGGGCACACCATCATTCTTCCACACACGCACACACACGCATGAACCCCAGGCTCAAGCTCGCTCTGCTCTCCGTCCTTGCAAGAAATTTCCTTCTAGCCTCTTGGAACTGACAGCATGTATAAAGACAAAGGTACAGTGCCAGTGCCAGTGCCGGTACCGTTCGTTGATTGATCTGGTCGCTGCAGCCAATTTCCAGATCTTGCACCACCCTGGCACCACCTGCAAAGTCGAATCGCCCTCTCTCTCATCCGTCCACCCGTTCGCAACCCCGAACCCCCATCTTCCTCCCCCCGCGTCCCCTGTGCAGTCACAGGCACAGCCTCCTCCCCCGCATCCCGTTGCTGTTACGGCGCAGTCATGGCTTTGGCCCCCCTTTCCCCAGACCCCAAAGACACCGTCGTGGTGGCGGTCAATCACGAGCATGCCGCCGAGACGAAGGCCAGAGCTGAGGCAGCCGCCGTGGCACGATCCGGTGAGGCGGTGCTGCGTGATGATCCCGAGGCCAGGGCGGCCTTCTTGGCCTCGTTTTCCGCGGCCGATGAGAAAAGGATCATGCGCAAGGTCGACCGGCGCTTTCTGCTTCTGATCGGCCTCATGTACATGGTCAAACAGATCGACGTCACCAACGCCGCCAGCGTCAAGGTGCTCCAGGTCGGCCAGCCGAGCAACATCCTCAAGGAGCTGCATATGACTCCCGACCAGTATAACTGGGTTCAATCCATCTACTACGTGAGTGCTGCGTGCGCCCCCGGAAACCCTAGGCGGTCACGTCTCCTCGGCCCCAGCACACTGATTCGACGTATTCTGCCCCAGCACACTGACTCGATGTCTTCTGTCCTCTAGATCAGTTATATCATCTTCGAAACCCCCAGCAACCTGATCCTCAAGCGTATGAGCCCGCATGTCTGGCAGTCGCGGATCTTCTTCACCTGGGGCATCGTGTTGGCTTGCCACGCCGCCATTCAGAACCGCCAAGGCTACTACGCCGTGCGCTTCATCCTGGGCATGATGGAGGCCGGCTTCTTCCCCGGCGTCATGTGCCAAATGGCTTTTTGGTACCGCACCGAGGAGTACGGGAAGCCGGTCATGTGGCTATTTGCCATCTCCCAGGCGGCCGGGGTGGTTGGGTCTCTGCTCTGTTATGGGATCAGTTATATGGACGGCATTCGTGGCCTGAGTGCCTGGAGATGGTGAGTGCACCGACTCCAGCTTGGAGTTAGGGTCATCCACGCCCGACCTCCCAACCCTTTGTTGAACAAACTCTTGTCGCTCCGGCGAGCCCGTCCTTCGCCGGACCACCGGAAGACCGTACTCGCGATCCTCTTGGGGGAAGGTATCTTCCCCGATACAGCTCACGGTTCTCTTGGGGGAATGGTATCTTCTCCGATGCATACCTCAACGTGAACGTGGTCCCCGATACCTCCCTCGAACGTGAACTTGAACGAATGATTGGATGAATGAATACATGCCGGACGACTGACCGCCAGTGCAGGGTCTACCTTTTGGAAGGGCTTGCCACCATCCTCTTCTCCGTGTCGATCTATTTCCTTCTCCCCGACTACCCCAAGTCCCCGCGCAGCGACCGGTGGCTCACGAAACGCGAGCAAGAGTTTATCGAGACGCGGCTGAGCGAGAACGCCCCGTTGACCAGTGACCCAGCGTTCAGCTCCAAAGAGATCTGGGCGTCGCTCAAGAACCCGAATCTCTGGTCGTTCATGGGCATGCAGATGTTTGTCAACCTGGCCAACTACGGACTCACCTGGTACCTACCCACCATCACCACCAGTCTGGGTTTCGCCAAACTGCCCAAGAACCAGCTGCTCAATATTCCGCCGGCGGTGTCGGCGTCTCTGGGCGTGGTGGGCTCATACTGGTTCATCCGCGGCGCGTACATTTCTCGGCCGCTGTGGATCTCGATCCTCATGCTCTGCGAGGTGGTCTGCTTCATCCTCTTCTTCACCATCAGCAACCACGTCGGCATCTACATCGCCTGCATCCTGGGCACCATGTTCGGCCAGGCCTTCTTCATCAACTTCTGGGCCTGGCGCTCTTCCACCCTCAAAGGCTCCACCGGCACCGCCTTTGTGCTCGGCTTCCAGAACTGCGTCGGCCAGGTCGGCGGCGTCGTGGCCCCTCAGTACTTCGTCCAGAAGTGGGCGTACAACCGCTACAAGAACAGCTTTGCCATTGCCACTTCGTTTTTGATCACTGCCTTCTTCTTCGCCCAGTGGACTTGGTGGCTGACCCGAAACGTCGAGGCCGACGTGTTGCGCGTCGCAAGGCTCCGGAAAGCCGCCAAGAAGGAAGGTCGGGTGTACGCCGAGGACGACATCAAGGTCTTCGAGGAGAGAAAGTATGATTCCGCCTTCTGGTCCATCAAGAAGTTTCGGCGGAGTAACGGGGTGGCCAGGCCGGAGGTGTAAGTGAGCCACCTCCATTTGTGAGTTGTGAAGCCACCTCCATTTGTGAGTTGTGAAGCCACCTCCATTTGTGAGTTGCGAAGCCACCTCCATTTGTGAGTTGTGCTTCTAGTGCTATTTGACTTGTCACATACCTCGATGTATTTGTCTCATCTCATCTCACTTCGCTGCTGGTTTGGATTACCCTTCGCTGCTGGTTTGGATCGCCCTTCGCTGCTGGTTTGGATTGCCCTTCGCTGCTGGCTTGGATCGCGGACCCTGACGGAAAGGTTCATATCCAGGTCTTTGGCCCTCTGGGGCAGTGATAGAAGCAGCGGCAGCGGCAGCGGCAGCGACTGAGGATGACCTAGGCTAGGCTCACCTTTTGAAGATCTGATGCCTGCGCCTGCCTCCATCAACACGAAAAGTTGATTTCGTTCAGATGAGGCCGAGTTTGCAAAATAGTAGGACTGGTCGAACAAATATAAAATCATAGGACCGTAGCCACAATGAACATAGACCGGATTTGCATGCTACCGGGCACGTCTTGACTTGTCTCCTCAGCCTGTCTTCTCAACCTGCCTCCTCAACCTGCCTTCCTAACAGCTTCCCAACCAGCTTCCCGTAGAGTAACGATATAAGCTAACGCTATTATCGCGAAACACGTATGCTTTGGCTCTCGCGCTCAGCCTTTGAATCGGAGCTCGGCACAGAATTTGACGTTCAATACAACAAGTCGATTTCGTTTAGAGGTGGGCGCGTTTATAAAATAGTAGGACTGTTCGAATAGGGTAAAAAAATGATAGGATGAGGGCCACAGTGAAAATAGCATTCAATGTTCCGCAGGCTTTATTAGATCCCATCATATCTGCTAATTTACCGACCTCCGCGGCTGGACAAGCAGAGTCTCTGAATGGCCAGTGTCGGGATCAGACTGTCCAAGTCTGGGGCAGGCGGTCAGACCCCCTTGTGTGTCTAGTCCGTATTGCTTGATCATGGAGTGCCTTGTGTGCCTAGCCTCGTATTGCTTGATCATGGAGAGCCTTGTGTGTCTAGCCTCGCATTACTTGATCATCGAGTGTCTTGTGTGTCTAGCCTCGTATTGCTTGATCATGGAGTTGGAGTGCCTTGTGTGT